GGAAGAGATTTTAGCTGGCATTAACAGCTGCCTGTAGGAACAGATAATCCCTAAAAGCATTTTTCAGACTATGCCTTTTTAAATAACTACATTTGAAATACATACTTTGGTCACTACACGCTGACATTGAAAACAGCAAATGGCCACCCCCTAAGTGGTTTACTGCAAGCTTTGAAATATCATTAAATAAGCAAAGAACAGAGGTTGTCTATAAAAATGTGTTGAAAAAGAGGGATAAATGCACAAGGCCCTGTTCAAAAATTAAGTCATCACTTGTGCAAACGAGTTTTAGATGCCAGAAGAGAGGGATAAAATTATTAAACAGAAAGTTAATATAAAAGTAAGAGAAAAGAAAAAGGATATGCCAGAGTTATATTTGTTTGGTACCCTGAAAACTCTGTGGCTCTCAGTTAACTGTGGGTTTCCTTTCCAAACCTCAAAATAAAAAGGACATGCAAGGAGAGCTGATCAAAAAGTATCAGTTTCAACTGCTAATGAGAGAAAGGCCAGCTATTTTAAAAATCCTAATGTACTTTCAATGTTTTTGTGTTACTGGACAGTAACAGTAGGCAAAGGGAAAATTATAGGATAGCCATAAAAAATGATGGTTGATGATTTTGCTCACCTTTATGGCATGAATAGAGTTTTGGTTTCACTCCTCAAAGAATTTCTAGCTGGAATACCAGCATGATGGTAACTCAACACTAGAATTCCTAAGAACCTAGCAGTGCCAGGTTAGCATTCTCCTTTTTGAGGAAGTGTATCAGAGACAGCTGTATAACCTCTTCTGAGGAATTACTGCCCGAACATCAGCATATTTAGCTCTTTCCTTTTGTGCCTAACAAAGAATCCCTCATTCAGTTTATTCCTGGTAGGGTATTTCTGATTTTTTTTTTTTTTTCTCCTGTCCAATGGCAAAACCAGATCAGTGCAGTATTTCTGAAACCATTTCTGTCTTTGAGGGGCAAATTTCTAATACTGAGCAGCAGCACAGCTTTGGGCATTGCATCACACGGAATGCAGCCAACAGTAACAAGTGCTGCCCTGTTTCCCATCTCTCATCCCGCTCTGTTTCAGTTTCTGTGGCTGGAAAAGCAGGCTGATATTTCCAGCTATGGGAGTCTGATGCTACCCCTGCAGCCGACCAGAAGAGGAGGCTCTGACACTGAGCAATGGGCTTCCCTCGAGAAGGATGCCAGGATCGGGCAGTGATCCCTTACTGCAAGGGGAAAACTGCATTTTCATTTCCCAGCATAACGTCAGTGAATGAGCTTAAACCCGATAAATGCAGAGGAGTTTCATTGTGAAATGTTATTATTATACTTCTCTTTATAAACATCCAGTTTCTATGAAAGGCAAAGCTGCTTCTTAGAAATCAGAGAAGTGAGAAACAAATTTATATTGGAAGACACAATACTGAGTTTTGCAGGTGCTCTTCCTTTGACAGCTCATTTTCTAATTACCTATTGCTATGACCTGGCAGTTCTAACTCACCTTTTGCACTTCTGGGAGAAAGATTTCAACAGTATATTAATGAATTTTACCATCTAACATGTCCAAGAAGCAGTTGTTGCTTTTAAGTTTTTTATAGAAAGAAGGTAATTGAGGCAGCATGGCATTAAATGACTCTCCTCAGACATCCAACAAACTGCTTTTGGCTGAGCCAGCTCTTCCATCCTATACTTTACTTAAAAAGTCAATCATCTCTTCTTCCATTTTCTCTTAGCCACATAGGTTCCCAAATTTGGGAGAAACAAATCATGAGTACTACAAGATCCTCACTGGGACTCCAAAGTAAGTGTGTTCAGCACTGTTTCCTAAACATCACACCACACAGTCATGCTATTAAAATTGAAGAGGCTGTCAATGCCTTCGTGCTCAGGAACAGAGGTTAAAGCTGCGTTTAGCCTTAAAGCTGCAGCTTGAATGTTTTGAATGGCACTGAGCTGAATCTTCACCTGTGTTGTGTCACCCCTGAAGAGCTGCAGGAGCTCACTGACTGATGATGGCTTAGCTTCGGTCCCTGGATTCATGTTGATTCTTATTGTTATTTGAATGCTTTCAACATTAACTCTGTCCTTCTAACTATGCCACACCTGTGCAAAAGACTACTAAATCTTTTGACTAATTAAGAAAGATTGACTAAACTAAATGAGCATTGTTTCCAGTTTGACATTAATGTCAGATAAGGATATAGTGAAACTTCAAATAAATCAAACATGTATTTCCAATAATTGCCCTACAGCTCAGTTAGTGCCTTATTTATGGTTGCAGAACCTCTATCATCCATAACATTGATCAGCTATGTGAAAGAATGATTGACCTTTGTGACAGAATGTATGCTTAATTCCCTAAAATACAAACATCCCAAGACCACAGTACTCAAAGAAGAAATGCATGCTTGAAAATTAGTGGAAGCTGCAATCAGATCAGCATTATGTACAAGAGAATTTCAGGTTTAAACTAGACACTGAACTTGCACATGCAGATTGTTTAGCTCACATTGACATGCCTTAACCTTAACCAGAGAAGGGTGAGAAAAACTTCTCTTGATGTTTGAGGACGACACTGTCACGACTGTCTTGTAATGCAGTTTTTTTCTAGTTTTTTTGGAAATACAATCAAATTCACTTCACGTGAGCCATCAGTCTAAACACTGTCAAGCAGTGATGTGGAGGTGACAGCTTCTGGCTATGTGTCACAGAATTCCTCATTTCTACAGTGGTACTGTTACTAGAAATAATAAAGGGACAAGCAAAGAAACCTTGATTTTTAAAGTATATTTACTGTACCATACCTTACTGCAACATCACCATACCATTGTTTATCAGTAAAGAATTTTTATTCTGGATTTGGAGACTTCTCTGATGGTTCAATGCCTTCATTCCCTTCCAAATTACCTCCAGAGAAGAATTCTTCTTCACTTCAAAATTACTGTTGCCTACGGTGTAGACCAGTCTGGTGTAGACCAGTGACATAAATGTCCCTCCTCTTGATCTGCAAAGGGTCCCCCACTCCAGCACTCTACTGCTACCTCTTCCCTCTGGACCAAAGACCCAAGATAATTCTGAATAGACTGTTTCCTACCATACCTTCTCCTGGATGTCACCTTTTTCCTCCAGAAAGGCTCCAGTAATTCTCTTTTCCAGCTGCCAGCACTGCCTGTAGCCCATTCACAACAGCTCCTACAAACCTTTCCTAAGCACCAATGCACAGAATTCTCAAAATCTGAAACAGCAAGCTCCTGAAAATGGGTTGAGTCCTTAGATCCTCATCTGTCTCTGAAGGGTTAGGATAGGAGACATAAAATATCTTTACAGCTATCGTGCCAAAGGCTCTTTTAGGACCTTTAGGAAAGCCCTACAGCGCAAAGAGTTAACTTTCTCATATGGTAGATAGTTAAGGGAGAAAAATATTTTGTGTGATAAACAGGTTTGAATACCCATGGCAGTAATTTTCAAATTGACTCTTGACAAGGAAGAAATGCACCCAACACAGAGTCATGAAAATCCAATCTATAAAAGCTCTGTGTGACTGTGGTGGAAGCAGACAAATGTTTCATACCTGTGCAGATGCCACAGGGAGTCCCCAAAGGTGTCTGTCAGTCTTGTGTTCGTGAATAACTCTGAAGAGACATATCCACTCACTGCCTTGAAAACTAACAGCTCTCTGTGCAATTCTTGAGGGGAAATAAGAAATCTCTCCACTTCCTGTCCCCATTACTTTGCTGGTGCAGTCAAACCCCAGTCTAACTAAAAAAAATGATCCATTGCTTTTGTTATAGCAATTTCATAATGCTGTTTGGTGACTCTTCCGGTAACTTTCTCCAAGATAACTTTTATAAAATCATGATATAAGCAGAAACAACTCTGAGCAAGATAAATCCTTAATTTCATCTTCCCTTGCCAAAAAGTTTACAAGATCCAGCCTGAAATAACATTTTTGTCTCAACTAATAAATGGCCAGTCAGGTTCATTTAAAATTTCACAAAATAAAATTGAATCAAATGATTCTCCCCAAGTGCATTCTCTGTTAGTTTGAACCTATTTGAGACAGTTTCAGGGATGATGTTACCTTCTGCTCTGAATTTGGAAGGCATAGTGTTTATAAAAATTACTTAAAATTGATCTGTGGATGTCAGAACTGCCAAAACCAGTAGAACGTCATCTAATTCCCCATGTATTTAGATCTTCAGTGCTTCTTATTTTTCAATGTATGCTAGGGATGAAACTGGCCCTGACAGAAGGGATGAGTTGCAGCAATGGAGACTTCACCTCCTCTCCATTTATCTAATGAAACGTGTCAGCAATCCTAACATCCTCCCCAGTGCCTGAGCCTAAGGACATATCCACCATCTTTCAGGTATCCTGGCTCCTCAGCGCCTCCAAAGATACAGAAGATGAGTTGCCAGGTGCAGTCAAGGAATGCTGCTTGCTCTAAAATGAATGTTTTTTTATGAAAGATGAGGAGCTTTGACTACAGAAACCAAGCCATCCGTTTCCTCTGCCACTTGCTGTTATTCATTAAATTGACTTATCCTCTTTATTTTTTTATTCTCATTTCTTTTGAATACTGTGACAAGAGTGCAATATGATGCAAGCTTTCAAAAGGCCTCATGTCCTCTTTCCAAGTCAGTGACTTTTCAGTTGTAGTCAGGATTTGGATAGACTGAGATACAGTCTAGTGGATCTCCCCCAATAATCTACAAAAGCAAATGTATATTTTGAGAAGCTTTAGTAGCCTCTTGCAGCCTAGATGAAAACAAGCTGCTCAGAGTGGTTTAGACAAAATCACATCAGAGGCTGCTGGATGCTTTGGTCCTGCTAATCAAAAATTAGGAAAATACAGATCACTAATTGCATTGCAGCAGTTTGCTGCCTGTGCATTCATTCAATGTTTACTCATTTGGGGCAGGCAAAAGCTATTTCCTGGAGTAGTTATTCACCTTCACTGCAGTAGATAAAAATGGTGTTCATTTTGGCTGAGAATTTGTCACTTACCTTCTGGTGGGGGATTACAGCCCTGGGAGAGTCAATTCTGGGAGCTGTGGTTGAAACTGGCACTGGACGTTTAGATCTGGGGATAAACAAACAAACAAACAAACCAGAATAAAAGATGAGCAATCTGGACTCCTATTTTTCAGCTATAATTTCTTGCCAAAATGGTGCTTCATCAGGAGTGAAAGTTCAGCATAACCTAGACTTTTTCTATCAATCATCATGCGTCTACATCCTCATTTACAAAGGTCTTATATGTGAGAAATGGTTTGAGAAAGTTTCTCTGAATGATGAAAACCCACCAGTTACGGAAGCACCCTCTGACTTGGGAGGTCATCTGTTTTCCAATACCTTGTGGCAAACTGCATTTTCATAGATGAGAATCAGCCACAACTGGATAAACTCAGGTTTGGGCAGCGCTCTGGGAAAAGGGACTTAACGGTGTTTTGAAATGCAGAGGCTAAACTTTGGTGCTGAGGCATCTCAAGAACAACCCCTTAAAAGATCATTATTTAATAGTTTCCAGTGTAGAGCAACTGCAATTATTTACACCTCTCTGCAGGAAGAAACATGGGCCTCATTTCAGACAATTTAGTTTCACAAGGAGCAGAACACTACTGAATTAGCTACTCCAAATGCCTGCCTTTCCCCTGTCAAGTATTTGACACATACTTGATCATTTAAAAAAACAAAAATAAACCAGCCTAAAATGCTTCCAAAAGACACAGTTTGCCCTTTCATTGGTAAACAACCAAGAAAGCAGAGTGACAAATGCTAACTGAAGCACTTGTAGGATGCTCAGGTAAGTGAAGATGTATTTGTGGGAGGTGTTGTACAAATCTGCATAGTGCTGAACATTCCACTGAAATCTTCCCAGTACACATGGGATCACCAGAGAAAATTAAATGAAAAATGCAAAAATAGTCAAAATAATCAGAATTTTACAAGTAATATCCCATTACCAAGCTACAGATCAGGGTGATGCCTCGAATTCTAATCTTGAAAAAGTACACTGCAAAATTAGGACAGGGACAAAAATGAAAAAAAAAAAAAAACTTAAAAAAATCAAGTAGAGATGACTGACACATCAGGAACTGTTTGCTTTAGACAGGAGATGAATAATGGAAGACAGAGCTTAGAAAATAATGAAAACTAGAAACAGGAAAATAAAACTACACTTGTGGACATTAAGTGAAATTGAAGACAACACATATAAAATTGATAAAGGCAAACATCTTTTCCTGGAGCACTTGATTAACCTAAGGTGAAACTCATTGTAACAAAACATCATTGAGACTATGAGAATAAGCGGGATATGAGAAAGGATGAGATAGTTATAGTTACAACAAAAACCCCAAGAGCAGCTTTAGACTGTGTATAATAAATAAACATATAGATTCTCATTTTTCAAGGTACAACTTAAAAGACTGATAGGGAGAGACCTTCTGTGTTAGGTTCATTATTTCCTTCCTGAGGGCTGTGTTGCACTTTCCTCTGAAACACTTTGCAATGACATCTATCAGAGAGGGAAAGCTGAGCTAGACAAAAGCTGGGCTCATCCACAGTGGCAATCCCTGCATTAGCACCGAGCTTCACACTGAGCTCCGTGTTCAGCTTTTGCTGCCACACATGAAATTTTTCCATAAACAGGAGTAAACAAACAAAAAAAGACCACCTAGGAGAAAGCAGCAATCCTCACAGGATCTAGAAAATTTCCACATATGGAAATCTTGCTACTTTGAGAGCTGAAAACAAAGCCAATGTAATAGATGCCTATCTCATAACCGATACTGTGAAAAGGAACAGCCTGAGCAGACCGTGGAAACTGGCATCTTGTTAAACAATGTTTGATTACCCTGTGAAATTCTCTGACAAAGTATTCCTGAAACAACAGGCTAGGAAATTGTTAAAGGCACTAGTATTCATACTCATAGCTGAAATATATCACAATATACTCCCTAAGACATAATTATCTGAGAAAGATATACTTTCAAGTTCTAGGAGCAAGAGCTAATCACTAACTGCCTAGAACAAACTTTCCTCAGGCAAGTTACTAACTGCTCTTCCCTCAGGAATAAGTGCCATACCCTTCCTCCAGCCATCTTAGCTTACAAAGAGAAACAATAAATCACATTCATGAGACATGCACATACATCATTAAAGACAGCAAAAAAGAGGGGAAAAAACCCCAACTGCAGCTCATAACTCGGAGTTGCTGAAAACTGACAGTGACAATTTATGAACAGACAAAGACTTAGGGGAAGATTCTGATCCTCTTTCCAACGGTGTCGTTTCCAAGTACACCCAGTTATTTCTGTGAAGTGACAGGGGTGGGCCTGGGCATTCCACGTTGTGTCCCCCTGCTCTGCTCCCTGATCATGAATTTTAGTGCCAGAGTTGCACAGCACTGGAAATGTGGTTTGCCACGTACAGAGGTGTAGCAAACAACACCACACTGCATGTTTGATGCATAACTAGAAAATAGTTGTATTGCAGCAAAGGAATTTACTTACCAGACTGTTCCAGCACTTCTGATGTTTGTTGTACTTTTTTTTTTTCTCACTCATTACCTGACCACAGAAGATGATGTTAAAAAGCTGCATTCCTTCCATATTACTGATAAACTACACCTGCCATTCACAGTGCTATCCAACCAGGATTTTCATTTTATATCAAGGTGGAGGTTTCAAGATGTTACTTGAAAACAATGAGGTTCCTACATAACTCTGCCCTGAATGTTTATAGCTTTGATATTTAAAAACATAGTGAGACTCGCTAGATTTAGCAGGAGATTGCACCAGACAAAAGGGTAGAAGAGGTGAAATCAATTTGTGGAATGAATCTCTATGCACTTGCAAAATAAAGTGATTATTTACATAAGAGTCATTACTTCTCTGGGAAAAACATCTGCTAGTTCAGAATATTTTTTCCCTCCCTCTTTTGCTAAATGAATCCAACCCTACAGCAACATAAGTTTGCTTTTCAAGTGATGATAGTGCTGTGGTAAACACATATATGTCCAGGTTTACACTTTAATCCATTGATCGCAAAATTATTTTATTCCAAACACTTGAGGAGTGTTCCTGCTCAGTAGGGTTATGAGAGGGATGAAAGCCCAAATTTCACAAATTACTGTGATAATTTTAGATTTGATGTTGGAATTTCCCATCAAGATTCTTTTTCTTAAGCAAATAATTAGATTTCAACTTCCAGGCATTTTTTTCTATATTTTCCAAATTAAAATGGAAACAACTAATTTAAAAATGAAAACTCAGAACAGTTCTAATGATGACCAAATACATCATTCCCGTGTTTTTTAAAACTTTTTTCCTTTCCTCAGATATACCTCTCCTCTCCCTCAATACTGGTTCTCTTTTTTAATGAGGTTCAAAACCAAGATGGATGCGGTTTTGCAAAGCAGTTCAATTTTGATAGCATTGCTGAAATGGCTGTCAAAATTTCTACTTGTTCCCACCTACCTAAATATATCTTTAACTGAAGAGCACTTGACTTCAACCCTGCTATTTTTGCACTCACAACAAAGGTTCATTAGGAGCCAACTGCATTGAGGAGCTGCCTGCCTAAGGAAGGGCTGCAAAGGAGTTCTGGGATTCACTATCAGTTTAAATTGCACCCTCAGAGGAGCACAATACTGTACTTGCAGAGAGGTGACATGATCTAAGAGATAATAGTTCTTTTTCATTTTCATGGGACTTCTATCTTCACCAGTCAGTGCCTACCTTTTCTAATTCTCAGGACAGCTAAAATGAACATTTCTTCCTTAGAGTAAGCTTTTGCTTTTATTTTGAGACACAAGCACTTCTTTATACCTTGTTGAGCATCTTAATAACTGTATCTTAATATTTCAACTACTGGAAAATTAAAAGGGTCAAGTTCATGGAAAGGTAACAAACCAGATTAGATTAGGTTTAGAAATGTCTAGAACACTTTTTACATACTTTACCTATCACCTAACTGAAATGGAGTCATTCTGGAGTGGAGTGTGAATTTGCAGAATGCAAAACAACGGAGCATGTAGAATTGGGTGTCTGATATATATTTGTTTTAATGGATCAATATTCCTGACAATTTGGTGGGGATGATGGGAGTGTGGGGAAGAGAATGGAATAGGATCAACTAGGTATTACTCGTGGTTAGCAATTGGAGGTGTCCATCTAACAAGAGCTGAGATAGCAACGTGCCAGTTAAATCTCCAGCTAACCAGTGAATTAAGCAGCCAAACAGAAGCTTCTCCTTGCTTCTAAGTCTTGCACAGAAAATCTTGAGTCTCATGATACCATGGTTTAATTCTCTAAGCCCTGCCTGGGATATCAGCAACCAGTCTCAGTGGCTCCAGTGAGAATCACAAAGTCCTGAACATTTCACAGGACTTCAGTTGTAACTGCGGTTGCTTTGGGACTGGGACGAGACCTACTTTCCCTCTCTTAGGTCATCATCTGTGCCTGCAATACAATTGAAAAAATTTCCATCAGCAGTTTTGCTCTCTGTATATCAGTGGCAAATGCAAATATTAGCATTTGGTTGGATGACTGGTTCCTTAATTATTTCCCTGCACTCGGATGGCAAGGTGGGTAATTACAATTTCCAGACCTAATGTTCATACCCACAGCAACATATGGACAAGAACTTCTCATGCACAAATGGCATCAGCCTAAAAGGCAGCAGCTATCCAATAAAAAAGCTGTTTCTAAGTCTGTAACACCCATTTTCCCTTACAAGGGATCTGAGTCAGAGGCAACCACAAACACTAAGGGACAGCGAGGCAAAGGAAAAGGGAAGAAGCCTTGGAGATTTTTGCGAAAGGAAGGAAAGAAAGGGAACTGGAGCCAGTGTCTCTGAAGCTGAGATTTTCACAAAGGCTCTCTTTGTCTCTCTTTGACCCTTTCTACTTCTGTGGCATCTGCACAGTGCCCGTTGCATCTTCCTAACTCCTACCCTCTCCCCTGCTCTGCAAAACCCCTTCTTTCTTGAACTGCCCCACATTCTGCCCTCCAGTCTGTTCCTCCTGAATGGAGCAACTGGCTGTTGATGCCTCCCTGTCCTCTTAGTTAACTTGGC